TGCACCGGAATCGCAGGGCAGTAGGTTCAATTCCTACCAGAGGACCTTGTGCTGCATTTTTCGCAGTCGTTCCTGGTTAGGTCTTAAAATGTATATATTCTCACTTGGATTACAAACCCTAACATTCTAATATTAAGTTCATCAATTAAGTGAAGTGCAAGAATCCAAATTATTGAAGTCCACCTTATCACAACCTGCACACCCGATTACCTAAATATACATGAACTTACGGGTAAAGCTCAACAGCTGGCCTCTGTAGCTCAGTTGGTTAGAGCGCTGCACCGGAATCGCAGGGCCGTAGGTTCAATTCCTACCAGAGGACCTTGTGCTGCATTTTTCGCAGTCGTTACTGGTTAGGTCTTAAAATGTATATATTCTCACTTAAAATGTATATATTACAAACCCTAACATTCTAACCCTAACATTCTAACATTTGAAATTAAGGATTTGGAGGTTTTGCGATCACTGATAACTTGATAATAATATAAAACAAAACACTTCTATCTGCAACTTTTACTATCGCTGATAACTTGATAATAATTTAAACCAGTCAAGTTGTAGTTTAAATAGAGAATAATACATGGGTGCACGAAATACCAGATTTATTTCGAGTGTTGAACATGAGTGCGGAGCGAACAAGTGAGCGCATCGAACGAGTGAGATGTCATGCATGTTCAACACGAAAAATAAATCTGGTATTTCCAACCACCCATGTATTTTTCTGTTTATTATATAAAGGACAGTCTTTGAAAAGCGATAATTTTTACAGAAAAGCGATAATTGAAAAGGCCATAATTTTCACATGTGAGATTATCATGAATAATTTCACATGTGAGATTATCATTTTTATCAGTGCTCGAAATCTCTTTAAAATACTCATTAATAATTCATAAACCTTGTGGCAAACATGTCAGCCATAATATGTCACGTGGAGTGACTTTATATCTGATAAAACACATGTGGCATTATATAATTGTTCATCTTAATTAGCATGATTATACTATGGTTCATCCTAATTAGTATTCTTTTGTAGTCGTATTTTAAGCTATTCAAAACACTCGTTGTCGTGTTTTATCAGATATATAACGTTCGGCTGCGCCTCGCATTATATATCTGATAAAACACTCCTACTCGTGTTTTAAATAGTACATAAAACACTATACTTTATATGATAAAAATTCATAAATTTGAACCACGCTAGACCATGACAACAGCAAAATGCTCTATAGTATGATGCACAAAATTTTGGGAGATGAAATACACGAACAATAAATCAGAGAGTGTTTGCGTGAATGCGTGAAACTCACTGGTGGGGGGGGGGGGTGCAACACCCCTGATAATTGCTCATGAGGAATTTCAGGTAGATTTCCAGTGCACTTTTAGGTAAATTTAAGTAGATTTGCAGAAGATTTTCAGGGGAATTCAGGTAATTCTCAGGACATGAGAAAGTGAATTTGGAAAACAACTGTATTTTCGGAAAAATTATTATATGTCCTGAAAAGTTTTTGTACATCTGGAAACATTAGTGGTAACTTCATCTAACCTCACACTCCCCCTGAGACGAAGTGCTAGCAACGGCACTGAGTATACATCTTTTGAAAACAGGCGAGGGGTTATTGCATGCATGTATTTCTAGTATATATAACATAGTTTTCCGTAGCGTCATTCCTGATGATGACTGCAAGCTAGTCGAAACGTCGAATTAAATATGTCAACTGTTCTCGGAGTGTCCACTGTTTTGAATTTTTTAAAATAGGAATTCTGACCTACATTTTTTTGGCGGAGCTAATCTTTTAGATTTGTGCAGTGTGCATGGTCATTCAGTATTTTATACATTAATTTAATATTGATTTATTTCAGATTTTCTTATTCGTACATTACGTGTTTCCCAACCAAGCGTGTCCAACAGTTTATATTATGGCTTTATCCGCCTTTTCACGTATGTGTAGTATGCGTGTCTGTATAGATCTATTTTTGTTTGTAAGCATGATAAAAAAGTATCAAAGGTATTACAAAAAATTATGGAACTAACGAACGCATTTCGGCGGTGCACATGGTCTCAAACTACGGAATGGAAGTATCCCTCGAATCGGCGGGGAAACCGAGCATTCACGTCCAATACTCACGCGAGCATACCGACAGAAAAGATAATTTACCGTCGGTAATATATATTTTCGGCAGCCGCCCAGTTTGTTGGGCAAACAAAGCCAGTCGGGCAATATTCGCTTCACAGTCGGGAAATATTGGCTTATTATGAAAATAAATGGGACAAATTCTGTCAATTTTGTGGGAAATATGCTATCCCAGTAATAGGAATTTTTCGTAATCACCGTCCCCCCCCCCCGTCGACAGCAATTTTGGAAAGCTTGTCCAGAAAATTTTTTTTGACAACTCGGGCACAATACGAAAAAGCCGGGCAAATTTCTTTCCGCCCCCCTAATTTTTTCCTTCCCATACGCCCATGTTTCTTCCTATATATGATATAAAATATCCTTAATACAAAAATACATCATCTTATACCCTTGCTATTCAAACCTTCCTACAAGATCGCCGTATCGTTTATTTGACATAGAACATGTTATGCCACATTTGTGAAGGTCATCCATCGGCACTCACTTTTTATTTAAAACAACTCAGTTAAGGAATAATTAATTGACTGCCATGGAGAGATTTTCGTTACATTTATTAATTACTAAATATATATCGTCAATAGCGCTTACATATTGACTATTATATACTCGTACAGTTTGTTTTTCAGGAAATTTACTAAAATACGGCCGTACTTTATCATGGATTCATGCTTTTAGTTTTTTTATTTTTCTCTCCTCGTCATTCAGACACGTGTAAATGTATTTTAAGGAACCGATGTAAAAATAGCACCAACTTGCGGCATGTCTATCCATATTGGTAAAAATCCACTTCATCTGATCACATCTCTTTCTGGTATTCTGCCTATTCCTGTAAGTCGATGTCAGGATCCACTCACAAGTAAGCTGATGTCCACATCCATTACCCAACAAAAATAACATTAATTTAAATGTTCCTCATCTGACAGTGGCTTAATCTTCCACAAAATCCTTTCCATTTCGGTTGGCCAACCATTAACATGATAGAAAACATCTCCATCCAAAGCAATAGCAGTTCAAGTCTTTTGCTACATATTTCTTCTTTTGAACACCGCAAAACGAAGCTTTCAAAATCTCCTTCAAATGAGACTACATTCAACGCGTTTCTCACTGTTTGCCATACAAATTTAAATAATGCACCCCACAGTATGTCAGTAATTTGAGACTAGAAACAGCTGCGTCGACTATTTATAAATGACTGAACAGCGGGAGCTTAGGCAAAAATCAGTCGAGTTTGTTTCTTATGATGTATATTACTTATAAATTCATGTATTTTAATACGCAGGCTAGTTGAAAGTACACTGTCCAGCCTTTGCAAGCATTCTTAATTATATTTCAATTCATGCCTTATATAATTAGCCGCTGTCTACTAAATATTCTGTGGGCAAAACTAATAAATATTAACTAGTATTACATGTCTTGCATGGCTATGCGCATATTATACTCGAGAGTCGTGTGAGCCGCATTGTCTTTAAAGTACTGTTTAAAGCACGCGCAGGAGTGTTTTATCAGATATAAAACGGGAGGCGCAGCCGAGCGTTTTATATCTGATAAAACACGACTACAAGTGCTTTAAATGGCTTAAAAAACGACCCATCTTCTGATGAGCACATTAGCGAAGTAATTTTTAAAATAACCTATTGTCTAAACCGAGAAAATCAAAGCTAAAGTTTATGTAAATTAACATGATTTTTAATCACATATAAAGATACGACACGCTTATGATTTTTCTTTGTGTTTTGCTCCAGAATTATTAATGAGTTTTTTAATTATACAGGGTGTCTAAAAAAAACCGCTACCCTTAGAAATTCACCACTGTTCTAATTTGAATGCCTGAACCTTTATTGATGCGTTACGCCAAAGAATCATCGAAGAGTTTGATGCTTTACGACAACAGCCTGCCCTCATGAGCCGAGCCGTGCGTGATATACATAGACGAACATTACTTTGTGTTGAGAGAAATGGGGGCCACGTCGAAGAACGAGGTGCTTAATAATTGTAAAAATAAACAACGTTTTGTTTAACTTACGTATTTTCGTTGCGTTTAAATCAATCAGTCATATGCTGAACAAAACCAGAAACTTTTCAATAACTTCTCAAGCATAAAATTCCATTCAAATTGTTCATGCACCCATGAGTTCAAGATAGCACTCAGGCATTCAAATTAGAACAATGGTGAATTTCCAAGGGTAGCGGGTTTTTTTTAGACACCCTGTATATAAACACTATATGACCTATAAATATTTGTCATTTAATACTGATTAGCATTTTATATATACATGCAGTGGCTTGAAGGACTTATTACATACTACACGTCTTCTGAAAAGTTCGGTGTATTAAATTCTTCGCAATGCGTCAATTAAATATATTATATATATAAACGCGTATACAGGCCCTATATAGTGGTTAATTGCAAAGACTACAGTAAATCGATTATTAAGCACGTTTGAGGAACATAATAATATATACTCTATGAGTTTCACTTTTCAGTATAGTGTGGTATAGTGAATATATATAATTGTTCTGAAGAACCCGAAGATATTCAAAACTCTTTAGACATTATTTCTACATCTTTTAATCACGAACGAACTTATTAACTAACTAATTTTTATCGTATTTTTTATATATTCGCATAAACATTACCTAATTAAACTAACGTCCAACGCAGACAAAAGCACTTAAATTACTAATTATAATAGTCCCAATTAATAAACATTAATTAAAGTCTAAACGATCAAGCGTTCTCTCATAAACATGCTCCCCCTCCTTTGACAGTAATATCGGTCAAATGTCATTGTTATTCACTACAGTAAGTTCAACAGATGCCAATTTCGTTATTGGCCTGATAATTGTGTCCCGTCCGATTTGAACTTTCGCCACACCAACATGTCCATCTTTCCCAGGAAAAACCTCTCTTACACGACCCAACGGCCAATGTCCACGGATCTGATCAGCAGAAATCGCGAGAACCACGTCCCCAACTTTTATATCACGTTTCGGTTCCCACCACTTTGTCCGTATGTTAATCAACGGTAGCCACTCTCGCATCCATCGTTTCCAAAAACGGTTAACTAACTCTTGTACGCTTCTCCAACGTTGCCGAGGATTGAATTCCAAACAATCAACAGGCTCAGGAGACGATTTTCCCCTACCTGCCCATGCAAGAAGTGATTTGGAGTAAGCCGAACTGTATCTTTCGGATCAGCCGTCTGATAGGTAAGTGGTCTTGAGTTCAGCGTCGCTTCAACTCCAGTAAACACCGTTGATAGTTCCTCGTCATTCATATCAGCGTTATTCAAAATTGCATAAACTGCCTTCTTTGCCGCCTTTATCATAATTTCATGAACTCCTCCAAAATGCGATGCTAACGGCGGATTAAATGTCCACTTAATCCCATTGACAACCGTGCTCTCTTGTATCCACTGATTATCCAATTTTTTCACTAACTCCTTCAGTTTTCTGGCGGCTCCGATGAAATTCGTTCCGCCATCGCTGACTATTTCTATAGGCCAACCCCTGCGACTTGTCATGCGCGTTAATTTAAACATCTTAAGAAACTGTCCGTGTCTAGACCATAAGCCATCTCCAAATGCACTGCACGAGACAGGAAGCATGTGAACAAACTGAGCCATCGCTTTTCTCTCCGTCGCCCTCTTCCTTGAACCGTGACGAATGGTCCACCAACTGATACTCGAGAAAATGCTTTTAATGGTAATTGTAGTCGCTTCAGCGGGAGTGGTGCCATGACTTGAGATGATGCTTTCGCTTTTCGCCTCCTACATTCGTTGCATTCTTTCTCCCATGCTCGTATCTCTTCCCGTGCCGCCTCTACCCAGTATTCATTGCTAACATTTGCCAGGGTGTGGTTGGTACCCAAAACGTGTTGGCCAATCTCGTGATAATGCTCGACGATCAACTTAGTCACCCAATTATACATACATACATACAAAACTTTATTTAGACCACGCTAGCCTCAACAGCCGTTGGAAGGCTGGTTTCCATGATGGGCGTGAAATTACCTATTTACAAAAAGTTAACTATATACAGGAAATACAAAATATAACAAAATAAATAAATACAATTGATTTTAGCTGCGCGATTATACAGAAACAAATTTCAACTCATTCTTTGTTTCAATATCGACTTGAAAGAGCTTAGGGATTCAGCATTTTTTTTCAGCAAAATAACAAAATCGACCATCACATCGAAGGACGCCGTCGATCGTCAATCTTAGGCATCAACTTCAACAACTTGCTCTTTGTCGACAGCAACTTTCCGTTCTTGATAACTTCATATACTCCTTGAAAATTTTCTTTTGTGCGTCACGTATTGTGTAAAGCTGCGCTTCTTTGACTTCTTCTAGCTTTAACGGACCACATTCTCGATTTTTGACCGTGTTACGACAGTTGTTAACAAATCTCAATACCCAAGACAGGACATGAATGAATCTCTGCCAGCTGGATCATCTTCATGGATTCAATCTCCACGAAGGACTGCTTGAAGAAACGGTAGGTTGAACTAAGCAAGTCAACGTGTACTCCATCTTGCGACCAATGCCTCCTTCGTTAACGATATTCTTCAGTTGCCACTCCAACTCCGTCTTTGGCAGAAATTGAGAACCTCGCCACCATAACACACTGTCAATCAGGTGAGCTGCTTTGCTTCCACGAGAACACATTTCAGCAGGATTGTCCCTTGTCCCAATGTATTGCCATTGCTCCGGATTGGTTTGACTTTGAATAAATCCAACTTTATTTGCTACGAAAGGCAGGCATTCTCGAGCGCGTCCACGAAAACAGGGAAGCACGTTCATACTGTAACACCAAAACCGCGCCGTGGAGATAGGGAGATTCAATGCTCTTGCAATGACCAATGCTAAACTTAATCCCAAGACCGCTCCCAACAACTCGAGCCGAGGAATACTCACTGGCACTAAAGGTGTCACTCGAGTTTTCGATGCAACTATATTGACCTCGACTCTTCCGTTCGGATGTTCGGTTCTCAAATAGCTGACAGTGCCATACGCGGATTTCGACGCATCTACGAAAGTGTGTATTGTCATGGACTGATCATTGTTCCTGTGCAAACATCGGGAAATTCTTATGGATTCAAGCTCCTTTACCTCGTCCAACCAACGCTTGGCTTGACGATACACGTCGTGCTCAATTGGATCGTCCCATCCTATCCCTCGCGACAATAACTATTGCAATAGGATCTTTGCACGCACGACGAATGGTGACACAAATCCCAGCGGATCAAATACTTTCGATACTCGGCTTAATAGGAATCTCTTCGTAAGCTGTGGTTGAAGGACTTCTTCGACTTCGAAAGGAAACACATCGTCCTCAGCCAATCATAACACGCTCAAAGTTTTAATCGTAGGGATATTCTCTTTAGCAAAATCGACTTTTGCTGCCCGTTTCTCACTTGGAATTTTCTCAAGAACGCTGTAGGAATTCGACACCCATTTCCGTGGTTCCATACCGGCTAACTTCCACAACCCGTTCAATTGCTCGTGCAGTTCGATTGCTTCCTCCTCGGTTTGAGTTGAGTCCAAAGAATCATCCATATAGGTTGACTTTTCGACAGTCTCCATCGCGAGGGGGTAAGTTTCTTTGTGTCGTCGGGCGTTTTCTTGAGCCACGAATTGCGCACGGAAAGGGGCTGACGTGTCACCAAAGACCACTCTTTCAAATTCATAGGCATCAGGTCGTCGATCAATTTCTAGATCTCTCCACAAGCATTGGAAATACGAACGATCTTCAGCTGGAATTCGGATCTGTAGATACATCTATCGGATATCGCACGCCATAGCAACAGGATATCGACGAAATCGCATGAGTACATCAAACAAATTTCTCAACAGCTTTGGTCCTGGTACGTAGGATCATCTCATTCAAGAACACCCCATGACGCTTAGCGCCGGCGTCGAACACAATACGAGTCTTTGTCGTTGCTCGGTCTGGGCGACACATCGGGGAAATGGGGTAGAAACCACACTTGACCTTCGAGAACCATTGCTTCATCAGGAGTCACTTTACGGATATATTTCTTTTGCTCATAATTTCGAATTGTTTCACCGTATTCTGCTCCAAGGGATTCGTTCTTCGATAATCATATCGTTTCTCTGTATTCTTGAGGCGATTGAATGCAGTCTCGTAATTGTTCATTAGAGTTGGACGACTTTCTTGCAACGACGCTGCAACTTGATAACGCTCTCCGTCGTTGCCCAGCGATTCATGCAACTGAGACAACGCCGACTTTTCTTTCTGTGACATTACGTGATGCTCTTTGTCGGTTGTAACTGATTCCAATTCCCAAAATCTTTTCAGCGAGTGATTAAGTTCTTGGAGCGATTCAGACTTAGCAAGGAACGTGTAAATCAGATTGGTACGAAGCGGACAACGCGCTGACGATTTTTCTTCTGGATCTCTGATACAAGACCATCCTAACCGACCCAATCGCGCGCTCGGTTCGCCTGGCTTTCCTCTTACATCACATCTTGCGTAATGCAAATCGACTTGATCTTGACCAATCAGCACATCTACCAGCGGATCTAGTGTAGCCTTCGGAAAATTACACACTCCCAAATGCAACCAACGCTTTTGATAACGCCTCCAATCTACCACTTTGTAGCTTCCTGTGATCTGACGTGGGCACCTAAATGCTTGAAATGGAACTTGAACATTACCATCACTATTTTCAAGAATCAAGTCCACTGACTTGGTATCAAAAGTCTCGATATTTTCGTTTAAAACTTGAACTGTAACGGGTTCGTATGGTGCAGACAGTCCAAGTACCCCAGCTACCTCTTCACTAATATAGGACGCGCAGCTAGCATCGTCTAGGACAGCATTAACTCTTATCTTCTGACCGTTCGCCTTCAGCCAGACCGGTACTGCACGAAATTACACAATTTTCGAAGCCAACGTTGCTACGTATGTTTTCTTTTCTGTCCCTGACGAATTCTCATCAGCCTTTAAATCTGGAACTGATTGTGACTGTGAAATCAGATTGTGACTAGGTGGTGATTGTGAAATCTTGGCCTCGCCATCCTGATTAACTTTCTTTTTCTGATCTCGGGTCCCGGTCTCGTGTAACAACTGATGGTGATTACTCTTGCAACCTTCTTGTCCACATACTCGTGTCCTAGGGCAATCTTTTCCCAGATGATTTTCCGACAAACATCGATAGCAGACTTTGTACAATTCCACACACCATGACCAATCTTGTTGCAACATACACAACTTCGCTCTCGCCCACGGCTGCGAAACTACGATGTGTCCTTGTGTCCTTAGGTTTTTCTTAGTCGCCATACCTTCCCTCGTCTCTAATGCACGAATCAGGAACTCTGCATCTTCTACCATCCAATCACTCAATGCTTCCAAGGTCTCTTCTTTATATTTCTCCGTTAACCATCTAAAAAAACTGGCCAACATCGACTGAGGAATCTTTTCAATTAAAAACAGATACAACATACTGTTCGGTTTTAACTCGTTCCATAGTTTTTGCTCTTTTAACATCACGATCGTATGTACCAAATTGTCCGCAAACTTTTCAATTTCTTGCACATCGTCGTCTTTAAACGGTGTAGTGTTACGAAAATCCTCTAACTGCGCTTGTATCTGTCGACGATTACCTCCAAACTTTCGTATCAAAGTCTTTTTTGCCTCTTCATAGGCTTCTTCTGAATATCCCAATTTCGAGATTGCCTCTGCTGCCTTCTCCCTCCAGAAATGCTTTTAATCTTAACATTTTGTGTTTCGAAAGTGCACTTGTCTCGTCCACGATTACTGAAAAAGCTGCCCGAAAACATGGAAACTTCGATTTGTCGCCATCAAATTTTGGTATTTGGAGACGCTCCAAACTGCGATCAACACCCTCCGTCTGATTTAATAATAATTTATTTAAAAACTGATTTTGTAACCAATAGGTTAAATTACATCAGAAATTTACAAAATTTGTATCTACTGTTAAAAAGTATTAAGTTAAGAGTTCAAAAGTAGCAGAAAACAATAGCCTATACTTCTACTCAGTTATTTACTGTTTTCTTTGGAAATAATTTGAGGAAAGAACGATTTCCTAAAACGTTTAGTTCTACATAGATAATTGTTATACTTGCATCTTGGTCGCATATCGTAGTCTGCTGTTGCTTTATGATTCAACAGTTCGCCTAGTTTATCGTTATTCTCATTCTTTTTAAAAAATTGTTCACATAATGTTTCTCTTCTTGCTTTTAATTAGTAAAGGGATACCAGTAAAATTCCGGGCTTCTCTGTAGCTCATTAATGGCAACAAGATTCGCAAAGCACGCCGTTGAATCTTTTCAATATCTTTGCTCAAATACTCTTGGATGTTGAAATGCCAGACTTGGCAGGCGTATTCAAGGACAGCCTAATAATAGTGGTGTACACAGTGATTAACGCGTTCGTATCCGCGTTTGATCGTTTCAGCCCTCTCAGCATGTATTGTCTTTTTCCTGGTTTTTTGACAACATTATTTACGTGTTCGTTCCAATTCATATTACCCCGAACAATTAGTCCCAGAACCCGAGCTGATGATACACGGTCTACAGCCACGCCATTTATAATTAAAGGTGGGAATTCCTGTTTATCTTTTGCAAAGTCTATTATCAATTCTTTGCATTTACTGATGTTCAGTTTCATATTAATAACGATGGTCCAATTGTAAATAGTATCCACAAGTTTTTGGAGAATGCTATTGATATCCGGTGTAATACTTTCAGTGATAGTACTATCGTCGACGTATTTCCATCTGTTATTCCAGTCTGTGAGAAGATCGATCGTTTATCATAACGAGAAAAAGTATTGGCCCAAGAACTGTTCTTTGTGGCACACCTTCTTTTAAAGTTTGCCAATTTGATACACAGCAGGCTGGACACCCCTGGCTGTCTCAAAAAATCCGAAAATTACTGAAATCACGCATAGTTAAAATTGAATGCCCTACCAAAAAGATGAACGTAATGATGCGTAAAATATTGACCAGGTGCATGTATTAAAATTTAGTTAAGAACATCTCCTTGTTAAGTGGGCGATTTTCTGCTCTTGGGAATTTAAAGCAACTTCCTAAATAGTTTCTTTATCCATAAAATTTACTTATGTCAATAATTTATGCACTCGTAGGAACCAACAGAGTGCTAAGGCATTCAAATTCTAACAATTAAATTGTTATTGGTGGTTTCAATAGTTTTCGTGTTTTTTGGGACACCCTGGTATATCAATACAAAATCAGTCTTTTTGAAATATGGAACAGTCCTCCTTTAGTGTTTACCCACGATAAATTATAATTAATAGTTATAGCCTATTTACGTATTACGCATCGTGTATCAAGTGAGTTGATAATCTCTGTCTCCATCCGCACGAAATCACAATATACAGTATAATATAATCATATAATATAACAAGTTCGCATCGTTGTTCGAGACGATTTTACCGACGGACAATATGTATTTACCGACGGTGAATTACGTCACCATAGGTACCGACGGTACCGACGGACAACGTTCTTGAGGGCTACTTGATACTCAACCTCAAACCCAGGCTCTTAAGAGAGAGCTTGGGTGCTTCATAACAGCGTGGATGCGGGGTTGCCTTATAATTACGTCATTCACTGACGGACTTTTCAAATTTACCGATTGTGAATTCATTTCTCCATCGGTAATGACGGACGATCTCTATTTACCGATGGTGAATTGCCTTACCATCGGTACCGACGGTACCGACGGACAGTGTTTTGGAGGGCTACCTTATGCCATCGCAATAATGCTAACTACCTCATTCACCGACGGACTTTTCAAATTTACCGATGGTGAATTCATTTCTCCATCGGTACAGATGGACAATCTCTATTTACCGATGGTGATTTGCCTTACCATCGGTACCGACGGTACCGACGGACAGTGTTTTAGAGGGCTACCTTATGCCATCGCACTAATGCTAACTATCTCATTCACCGACGGACTTTTCAAATTTACCGATGGTAAATTCATTTATCCATCGGTACCGGCGAACAGTCCTTATTTACCGATGGTGAATTGCCTTACCATCGGTAGCGACGGACAGTCTTTTGGAGGGATACCTAATGCGATCGCAATAATGCTAACTACCTCATTCACCGACGGACATTTCAAATTTACCGATGGTAAATTCATGTTTCCATCGGTAGCGACGGACAATCTCTATTTACCGATGGTGAATTGCCTTGCCATCGGCACTTACGCTACCGACGGACAGTCTTTTGGATGGCTTCCTTATTCCATCGCAATAATGCTAACTACCGCATTCACCGACGGACTTTTCAAATTTACTGATGGTGAATTAATTTATCCATCGGTACCGACGAACAATCCTTATTTACCGATGGTGAATTGCCTTACCATCGGTAGCGACGGACAGTCTTTTGGAGGAATACCTAATGCCATCGCAATAATGCTAACTACCTCATTCACCGACGGACATTTCAAATTTACCGATGGTAAATTCATTTCTCCATCGGTACCGACGGACAATCCTTTTTTACCGATGGTGAATTGCCCTACCATCGGTTCCGACGGTACCGACGGACAGTATTTTGGAGGGCTTTCTTATGCCATCGCACTAATGCTAACTACCTCATTCACCAACGGACTTTTTATGAGTTCATTGGCGAAGTAATTTTAAAAATAAACGTTGTCTAAGTCGAGAAATTCAAAGTTAAAATTTATGTAAATCAACATTAATCTCTGTTCACATAATATACAGATACGACACGCTTCTGATTTTTCTTTGTGTTTTCTTCATGAATTATTAATGAGTTTATATATATATATATATATATATATATATATATATATATATATATATATATATATATATATATATACTATATATATATATATATATATATATATATATATATATATATATATATATATATATATATATATATATATATATAAGTATATATATATATATATATATATATATATATATATATATATATATATATATATATATATATATATATATATATATATATATATATATATATATATATATATATATATATATATATATATATATATATATATATATATATATTTATTTATACTGAATGTCATAGACATACTCCTTTATATTAATTCAGCATCGAACAATACTAGCTCTGCAATTGTTATGTCAAGTTGTGTAATTGTACACTCCGTAATATGTTAAGATGAAAATGTTCTAGAGTGTGTATTATATAATTTCCATAATAATAATTAATAATAATTTATTAATTTGTACCGCGCTAAAACTGTAGAATATTCTAAAGCGCGTATACATAAAATAGGAAGCTAATTTAAAAATTTCCCTACGTTATTTACACAACATTTAACTACTATAAGCATCTATTTAAAAATATTTTAAAACAAGAAGTATTATTAATATACGCATCTCAATACAAAAATGTCTTAAGATTTGTCTTAAAAGAATCCAACGAAGGTGAAAGCCGAATCTCACACGGTACTAAGTTCCATAGAGGAGGTCGTTCTTTCAAAAAGGCACGATCACCAAAAGACTTTATACGTGTGCTTGGAACATGAAGAAGCCCTAGTTCGTCCGATCTCAAAGAGTAGTTATTACTTTGTTTATAAGTCAACATGTCACGAATACATTGGGAGCCAATCCATGCAGAGCTTTATAAACCAACCTTTATATTCAAGATCGTACTGATCTTGAATATAACACGGTATTTAACCGGTAACCAATGCAGTCTCATTAATGTAGGTGTAATATGATCAAACTTTGGTACAAGACATACAACACGAGCAGCAGCGTTTAGCACTTTCTGCAATCGATTTAATTGATATTTTGGAATTCCATACAGCAAAGAATTGCAATAATCCAAATGGGATGTAATAAATGCATGAACTAACATTTTGGTAGCATCGTCAGTTAAGTATTTCCTGATTTGTTTGATATGGTAAAGGCTTCGAAAGGCCTTGTTGCAGATTTTGCTAATATGCAAATTCATGGACATGTGAGTATCTAACCAAGACCCAAGATCACGAACAGCGCCTACTGGAGAAATCAATACTTCTCCTACCCTCAATTTGTCAATCTATACCTTGGATAATTGCTGACGAGAGCCAATAATAATAAATTCTGTCTTGCTACTTTGAATAAAAAGACGATGTGCAGACATCCAGTTTCGAAGCTCATCAATACAATGTTCCATTGCTTTAAAAGCTGACTCCTGATGCAATGAGTTCTGAGGTTTAAAAGAAAGATACAATTGTGTGTCATCTGCATAAGCATGATGACAAGGCAGATGTTGAGAAATAATCACAGAAAGGCCAGACACGTAAAGTAAAAATAGAACAGCACCCAGGCAGCTGCCTTGGGGAACTCCAGTAGCAACCATAAACTCGGAGGACTTACACCGATCAATGACAACTTGCTGCTTTCTATTAGCCATGCAGATACGATCTAAACCACTGAAGTGCACTGTTCACTACACCAAAATGATTCTTGGGGAACTCCAGTAGCAACCATAAACTCGGAGGACTTACACCGATCAATGACAACTTGCTGCTTTCTATTAGCCATGCAGATACGATCTAAACCACTGAAGTGCACTGTTCACTACACCAAAATGATTCTTGAGGACATCAATAAGAATATTATGGTCTATAGTGTCAAAGGCAGCACTCATGTCGAGCATAACAAACAACGTAACCTCTTCGTTGTCCATATTAATAAGTATATGTCATTCTGCACTTTAAGCAGCGCAGTTTCAGTTGAATGGA